CGNTAAAATTCTTTTTTAATCTTAAAAACACATATTTTTTTTAATTTTCCTTGCTTGCTGGAAAACCAACATTTAAGTCATAGTAACCCTGAATGTTGGCTTTCCTAAAAATTTAATTTTTTAAAATTTCAAGCTAAAAGCAAATTAAAAATTAATATATATATTGTTCATACACATATTTTTCTATAATTTTCAGGGATGAAAAAATGGCACTTTTATGACCGTTTTCTTGAAAATTACCCAATCGTTAAGGGATTAAATTACTATTTAAGTAATTATTAAAAACTACTTTTACACATTTAATTTTTATGAGCTTTTCACTTCATCTATGCTATGTCTGATTCACTTCAGTAGTTCCAGAGAAATGATGATATTTGCAAAGAGAAAATCTTCATTAAGGAACTCTCGTACTTTCCTAATCAAACTATATTAGCCAGTTTTCAAAATTTTTGCTACCCTCTACAATTTGAGTCAAAAATCTGAATTCGTCAACAAAAAAAAAGCTGTGATACTGTAGAGAAAGTTTTTTTTTTTTCTCGTATGATTTCATAATTTATATATCACCTGTAGTGTTTATTTAGCTTAATTTAAATGTCTGCCTCTTAAATCATTGCGATGACAGGGTAATGGGAAAAAATATGATCTTTAGAGTAAAACGTATTTAGGAAAATCTGTTTTTCATTTTGTTTAAGGATAATTTTGCTTGAAGCTTACCTTGGCAGAATCACGGCAGCAGCGTTGCCGAAAGTGACTGAGTTCTTGCAGAAAGAATTTTTATTTGGGAAATAAAAGTTTTGGTTTGGCAGAAACAAAAGTTAGGAAACAAATTTCTGCAGAAACAGAAGTTGTTTTACAAAAAAATTTCTACAGAAGCAGAAAATTTCGGGAGAAGCATTAGTGGTTATGAAACAAATTTTTTCTTGTAGATTGTTTTTAAATAATTGCTTTTCTAGTTCCGGATGAGTGAATGAGTTATGCCCCTCTGACCCCTTTTAAGTAGCAATAAGCAAATTATAAATATTCCCCAAGTGCGTTTATAATATATGTTCAGCCACAAATTAAATAATTAGTTAGCTTTTTTGTAGAGAAAGCAAGATTCTTCTCTTCATAATAGATGTATTTTATCAGAAACAAAAGAAATTGTGCTCGTGAGATGTGCCCACGGTGAATTGTCCTTGTGACAAAATGTGCCCATAACTAATTGTTGCGACAAGTTGTGCCCACTGCAAATTATCCTCGTATGGAAATATGCCTATGATGATGTGTCGCCGTAACGAATTAGGACTATAACACATTATGCCCACGACGAATTTTCTTCAAGAGGAGAATTTTCTCTTCGTTTTAGTATTTCAAAGCAATTGAAAGCATGGAAATAGATTTTTTAATAATATATATGTGAATATTAAAATTAAATATATCTACAATCAAGGTTTGAAAAAACAGACCAAAGGTTTAAAATTTGTATGCTACTATCTCGATCTACACTAATGATTTTAAATTTTTAGTTTTAATGTTTATCTTAATGCTACCCAGATTGTAGAAAGTCATAGTTTGAGTTACATTTTTTTCTGATAGTGAAACAAATTTTCTTTTGTTTGGTATTGTAAAGAGAAATGAGAGGCAAATTGTGACCAAAAATTTGCTCATTTATGTCACCTCTAAAGAGTTATACTGAAGTTAAAATTCAGATTCTTGAAGAGTTCTATGGTAATTTCAATTTTTATTCAGAGATTTTCCAATTATGATCCAAGCAAATAATTAAGCATAAGGGTAATATATTGTTGAGTATTTTGAATAAAGTTGTGATGGGTCTTATTCACAATTGTCACATTCAAAGAATTGTCTTGTGGTAGTCACATAGTTCTTAAAGTTTATTATTTTTCAAGATCATATTTCAGTCACTGCATGGTTATGTTTTGCTCCCATTTCTTTTATGTGTTCTGTGTTACTTAGTGAATGAATGTTATAAACTTGCATGGTGTTAGATAAGAAAAGGGCCTTTCAATTAAGAGTTACTGATTTTCTTCAAATTTTTTGATTTAATATACATTATGCTTAGAGCTCCCTGTTTACATTTATTTCATCTAAATAGATTTTATTCTGATTTCCTATTGTTATCAAATAGATAGAATTAGAAATGGGAAAAGAATGGGTGAAAAATAATAAGAATTTTTTTTAAAAAAAAATTTATATCCTATTCGCATGGAAACTGTCATGCTATTCAAAAAGACTGTAAATTGTTTATTGTTATTATTACTTAATGAATTAGTAACTATTTTGTAATGAGTTATTTGACTGTCTAGAAATTTATTTAATTTTGTTTATATGTAGCAACTTTTTATCTGAAGAAACTATTTCAGGCTATTTCTTATCTAACTTTAGACTATTCAATCTTTTGAAGTAACTTTAAAAAAAGTATATAAATGGAAATAAATCAAATAAAATTCCTAAATTTTATAGAAATTATTGATAATTAAAAACATAAACAAATTATGTTTTTACTTTGTACAGTTTGGTTCCTGCTCTTCATAAAACTTTTTGTCTGTTTCAAACATCGTTTTACAATTGATTTTTAACATTTAAAAAATAAAATTTTTACTTAAGATTTTCACAAAAAAAAATTATTTTATTCCAGAAAATTTTTTTATTTAAATTATGAAGGATTGATGACAGGAAAATTTATTGTTTGTAGTTTTGTTTTTCAAAATTAATACTTAGTTGAATATCCAATTTTTTAAAAACTTTTTTTTTTTTTATGTCTGCAAAGTTGGCAACATTTTTCTGCCTAAAACTGGACTACTGGAGTTCGTATAACTGGCTCCATATGGATCCTAATTGTCTCTTAATCCTAATTGAAAAACATCTTGAATATCCAAACTGTTGGGGTTTTGAGGTCCCGATTTCCAAAATTTCAAATTTTAGATGATCTCCAAGTTATGAAACTAATTTTTGAAAAAGAAATAATAATAATAATTTTATAATTAATTTTTTTACTGTTCAGTCTGTCCCTTAATTCATAAAAGTTATTATATAATTGCTAAAATCAAGAAAATATTTAATTATGCATAAAACTAGATTTAAATGTAAAGAAAATATTGTTAAAAAGTTTTTATTTTCTATGTAATTTGTTAAGAGAGTTTCATTAGGTTTATTATAGCTCAATTAAACACATATTTTTACAGTTCATTTTATTTATGAAATAATTTTTTGTTTTGTATGATGATTTGACAGTTGAGAACCTAGAAAAATTATCCTTTATTTTTAATTACCTGTGATGCCATCAATCAGTGGGAATATTAAAAAATGGCCTAATTCAACTGAAACGTTATTAGCAAAACTGGGGTGTTAATAACAAATGCATTATTTTATATTCAGTTTTGATCCTGTTTTATAGCATTCAGATTTTTTTTTTTGTGGAGGGGGGATCGTTTTCTTTTTTAAAAACTNCTGCCTAAAACTGGACTACTGGAGTTCGTATAACTGGCTCCATATGGATCCTAATTGTCTCTTAATCCTAATTGAAAAACATCTTGAATATCCAAACTGTTGGGGTTTTGAGGTCCCGATTTCCAAAATTTCAAATTTTAGATGATCTCCAAGTTATGAAACTAATTTTTGAAAAAGAAATAATAATAATAATTTTATAATTAATTTTTTTACTGTTCAGTCTGTCCCTTAATTCATAAAAGTTATTATATAATTGCTAAAATCAAGAAAATATTTAATTATGCATAAAACTAGATTTAAATGTAAAGAAAATATTGTTAAAAAGTTTTTATTTTCTATGTAATTTGTTAAGAGAGTTTCATTAGGTTTATTATAGCTCAATTAAACACATATTTTGTATTTTATTTATGAAAAAAAAAAATTTTTTTTTCTTATGATGGTTTGGCAGTTGTGAACCTAGAGAAATTATCCTTTATCTTTAATTACCTGTGATTGATTTAATATTCACACTGATTGATGCCATCAATCAGTGTGAATATTAAAAAATGACCTAATTCAACTGAAACATTATTAGCAAAACTAGGATGTTGATAACAAATGCATTCTTTTTTATTTTTTATTCAGATTTTTTTTTGTGGGGGGGGGTCCTTTTTTTTAAACTTTTCTCCTGTTTTTCATTATTTTTATGAATTTTTACTGATATTTTTAATCTTAAGAGCATTTTGTTTGTGAACAAATTTTTTTCTTTATAAATTAGTGTAAATTTTGTATTGAATCTTGTTATTTTAAATGTACTCCAATAATAAGGGTTGATGTTGAACAGAGTTTTTCAAGATGTAACAATTTGCTTTTAGGCCAATAAGCAATTTTAAAAATATAAAAAATAAATAAGTAAAATATGAAATACCGTTCAGTTCCAATGCTCTTGATTGTGACTAAAATTAATAAATTCTTATTGATTTCAAATACTTATTGTTATTTAAATTTAATTATAAATTACATGTTTAGTTTAATTTTTATGTGCCTTGTTTTTTAAATTTTTAAGTATTACAATTTATAAACTTTTCTAAAAAATTAATATAAAGCCAGTTTTTGAAAATAGTCTTGGGTTTTTGCATTTGTTAAGAATTTTTAGGTCATCAACATTCTAGTCATGCTTATTATTGTTTATTATTTTAAGTATTTTTATGCAAATACTTCACAGGTAGACTTCAAGGACTTTTCAAGGCAATCGAACACATTTTTGGACATCAAACAGGGGGGGGAAACACATTTTTAAAATATTCTTTATGCATTTAGTAAATAAATTGTGATTTGAGAATTTACGAAAATTTGTATGCCAATTATTACAGAAGTAAGCATATTGTGTTAGTTCTACAAATTATGAGCATTTACCTTTTAAGATAGTTCTAAATTGCATTTAATTTAATTGAATTGTTTCTGGAGCTCTGAGCATAAATTATTTTTTGTTATGTATTTTAATTTTATTTTAGTTTATTTTATTGAAGATGCTATTATATGAGTTTTTGCTTCTACTTCCTTTTTTCTTAAAGTTAAGTCTCCAATCTCACCACATCCCCCTGATAATAAATTTGTGTATAAAAGGCCCTCTGAAACAAGCTCTTCAAGTATGTCAACGGGTAAGTGACAAGTTTTCATTTTGAACAAAACACCAGTCCCCAAAGCCATTCAAAATATATCAAATATTGTTTCCCTCATAAATTATAAGTGCAGAAGTTGTAGATTGGTAACAAGTTAATTTAATGAAACATTATTATAAAACAACATTATGAGATAAAAAGATAGATGGGTTATCCAAGTAAATAAAGAGCTAACTTTGTACTTCATACCTATAAAGCTAAACAACATGATGATACAAATAATGTCGTATCATACCTTAGTTTTGGTTCTGCAATGAAGAATTTTTTTCAGTTTAAAAACACGAAATAAAAGAAGGAACACAAGGATAAAGAATGAAATTTCAAGGAAAGAGGATAATTAATCAAAAGATGAGAGTCAAGAAAAAAGATATCGTGGGGAAAGTGAGAATACCAGATGAATTCTTGCAATATCTGGGGTCCTCACCCTACCACACCTTTTTTTTTTATCATCTTCATTTTGCTTTATCTTGTTCAATCTTGCCCCAATTCCCCTATTTACCAATCATCCTTTTCTCTGTGATTTCTTCTTTTATTCTGTACCATATATACTCTGAAAAAAGTTTTCTTTGTAGAAGTGAAATTAACTGGTCAAAAGAAAATTTTTTAAAAATGAGTATTTAAAATATTGGTTTTAAAGGTTGTTGTTTTTTTTTTTTTTTTTTTTTTTTAAAAAAAGATCCTTAAAATGGATAGTCATTCTAAACCGGTTAAAGTCCATGAATAAGATTTTATTTTATATTTTTTCAAGCAAAAAAATTTTTGAAATTTATAATATCAAATTAACTTTATGCATATAGAAACAGTCCTGCTATTCAAACTATTCATTAACCAATATGCTTAAAAAAGTTTTGAGTGAAACTAATTTGAGAAAATTAATATTGGATCATAAAAATATTTATTTAGGAGTTAATGTAATGAGTTCTGAAAATATTTTCAAGACTGAAATTTTTATTAAATTTCCAAGATAATATATTTTTTAAATCCTATTTTGAATATTTCCGTTTAAAAATTTATTATATTTTTTAAATCCTATTTTGAATATTTCCATTTAAAAAATCTTTTCTTTGCTGTCAGAATCCCATCGTAATGTGTTAAGTAAATAATAAAATCAAAACTTGTGTTTCAGAATGTCAAATATCTAGATATCTAAAAGAGCGATGTAGTAAATATAGGGAGATACAAATACTTTTTTTTTTTCTATAATGTTATAATTTTTGTTATTTTTACACAAAATTATAGATACATAGCTTATAAACTTAATTTTTTTTAAAAATGTATGCAATCTTTCATTTGAATTAGTTTCATAAAATTCAAAATTAATTTGAAACATCTCTAAAACTTTTTTTGTAAAGGTTGTAAAAACTGCATAAATTTAGACAAGTTTATATCAAAAAAATTAAGTGTTGATAGTTTGCAAACTGCACAAAGATGTTGTTAGTACTGTATACAAATAAACTTTTTTACAGTAGTAACGAATTAGAAGTTCCTCAGTTATTCTTTAAATTTTTTACTAAATTACAACTTCTAAAATTAATTTTTGAGGAAAGCAGTATCGTTAGATTATTTTTAATGACCAGTTACAATAAAATATTGCTTATCACAATGTTGAAAGAATTCGTTGTATTTTGCTGTGTATATTTTTCTGTCAACAATTGTGTTGTGTTTGCTCTATATGGTTTGCTTGGGGTGTTTAACGTTCAAAAAAAAAAATTTTTTTTTTTTTTTTTTTTTTACTTAAATAAAAATTGTTTGCTCTTCTGGTTTTGTGTTGCACGGATATATTTTGTTGTTATTTATATTGTGAATTAAAAAGAAAAAAAAAAAAGCAAAATAAGATATTAATTGTGCAATTATTTAATCTTTGTTTTTAAAGTGGATTTTTGGTAACATTGTAATTTTGTCCTGTTTTTTAATATGTAAATGCCAGTTTAACTGCTATTAAGTGTATTTATTGGGATTAACTAATTATATATTACTCTTAATGCAGTTAACTTTTCTTATTTTGACGAAAGTTTGAGTTAACTCACGCAAATTAAAAATGCTCAGGAAACTAACCTGGGATTTTGTGATTAGGCAAGCTATTTAATGTGTCATAATATTTAACAAATACTTCAAATGTAACATAATTATTACATATCATATATTTAAGCTATAATATAACTAAAATGGTGGTTTACGAAATTTTTACAATGCTTCCTTTCATTTTGTATTGTTTTTATTTGCGAAGAATACTATAAATAATACATGAATGATAGAGTGCATAAATTAATGTTTTATTTTCTCAAATGCTGGTTCGATACCTTTTTGATACATTAAATTTGATGCTGTTATTATAGGGAAAGATATTTTTAAAAAATTGGGATTTATTGTTATGAAGTCAAATCAATTTCTAGTGTATAGATTTTAACTTAATAGAACAATGATGGGTGTATTTAAATCATTGTTGTATAATTTTAAACTATATTGATCTATCTATAAGTGTAGTTTTTAATCTTTTTTTCTTTTAAAAATATTGCAAATAACTCATTGCAGTTCAGCAAACATTATAAAAATTTAAGGATATGAATGTTTCTTGTGGCAAAGAAATGAAAACTTAGGAAAATATTAAAGCTGGTATGGTTTACATTACAGAAAATCAAATTTAGTTTTTATTTTAATTCTTGATGAATGATAAAATAGAAAAATCATGAATTAACTATTTCTCTCTTTAATGTTTAGAGTTGCTACAAGTGGCATGGATATTTCTGCCACTTATTAAAATGTCTGTTATTTTTACACTATATTGGTAATTATAACATTCTATTAATATATATTTCTTGTCTTGTTATTTTTGTAGCTTTAAAAAGTGCTAATGGACTACTTGATCGTGAGTATATATTTTCTACAATTTCTATACATAATCATATTTCTTTGAGGGTAGTTTTTTTATTACATTAAAAAAAATTCTATGATAAAGTAAACTATTTAAATGGCTCTTTTTTTTCTTTCATTAAAAAATTTTAAATAATATTATAGAGACACCTATTATTTCGTTAAAATAATTTCCTCAAGTCTAAAAGATGACAGTCTTTTTTCGTTTAACAGTATAATTGTTCTCATTGTAAATAAGCAGCATTTCAACCAACAACCCCTTCCCATGGCAGTTTTTTTTTTAATATTTTTGGATAGGGAAATGTTAAATTGGGAAAAATATTCTTTTGAAAGAAAAAAAATATTCTCAAAATTTTGATTTCTAAAAGGACATGAAAATTGAAATTTATATGGTTAGTGTTTTATATTTATTTATATACTTATTTATTTTAAATGTTCAATTCTTGTTAACAATTATTGAGACATATAATTTTTCATGAATCACTTTGATATTATTCATAATTTTGTTGTTTTGTAGTGTTGGTACAGCCCTTAAATTTGTTTAACTGGACTATCTATATTCATCTTCCTATAAATCACCTTCTTATCATCACCAAACAATTCTCCACAGTTTCTGTAGTTTTGTGCATTATTCACATCTGACTCTTCTTTTCTTTTTTAATTATATATAGTACAACTAATAATTTATCCAGTAGTTAATGTTTTACTAATGGCTGCATTTAAAAATAATTGCTTAAAATGATCAATTAACAAACTGAGAACTAAACATTTAATATTAATTTTCATCATCGTTTTTATGTAATTTCATAATTTATAATTATTACTAACTAGAAAAGAGATGATAATTCCATTTGTTTTTATATTTTAAATATATTTTTTGATTATATTTATTTTTTAATGGTACCCTTAAACATAATTTGATTCATTTATTCTAGGAATTTGACAAAAAAAAATTTAATTTACAATCATACTTTTATAAGTGTTAATTTTTTCCCCCATATTTGCATAAAAATCTGTTTTTACACATATCTCAAATAAATCGAAGCTAATTTTAATAAATTTTATTACTACTTGTACTTTATAGTTTTTAAAGAGTAATATATTAATTCTATTTTTAGCTCGAAAGCAGGAGGTAATTAAGCTGACTGAACAATTAGTTGAAGCTGTGAATAGTGGTGATTATGAATGTTACACGTGAGTTACTTAACATTTCACACATTCACTCTCTAAAAAATACAATAATTACTACTTTACATTCCTTATTCCTTTATAAGTGATTTTTGAACCTTTAATTGCAGCAATTTTTTTTTCTTAAGGGTTTGGGGTAAAAATTATGCACTATTAACATATTTGAATGCAAAGATCTATGCAAATACAAAGAAATTAACATAATTGTTGCAGAATCTTGTATCTAAAGTAAAAATATTTCAACTGACCAAGCAACAAGAGTTATCAAAACATCAATATACCAAACATTATTATTTGAAAGTTAAAGCAATAACTAACCAGGCGAGCAAAAAATTATCAAAGCCTGATATTTCCTCAAAATCACAATTTTTTTTCAAAATTATAGCCCTTTTTTTGTACAATGACTTTTTTGAAATATTTTTTTGTAAAGTAAGTTTTGTATATTGTTAAAAAATTTTGATAAAATTTGTTTCTTTAACAAACAAAAGAATTTTACATAACTCTACACACTAGCATACACTTAAAAAATAAAAATATATTGAAATAGTAATAATTTATAAAATTGGCCCCACCCGTGATCTTAAGGAGTTCTAACTTAGAAATAAACAAAATTGGCATATAAATTTATTTGTTATATTTATTATATTAAAAAATATTATTTTTAGACAGTAAGTTGACATAGCATAAAGAAATAAAAAGTATGTTAAATTGAAGTTTAAAAATATATTTTTTAATTTTCTTAAACAGGGAAAAATATTCTAAAGCAATGCAATTTTTCACAAAAAATTTTAAGCAATTTTTTGTAACTAGATCATTCATTTCTCCAGAACTTCCTTAATTATGTCTCAAACCCCCATTTGTGTGATCGAATATATTCTGTGTTACTTTAACTAGTTAGCATTCAGGATGATTCATATTATCCTAAAAAATATATCACTTGTTAAAATAAAACTACAGGGTTGAAATTTAACATACCACCTGAAAGGGTCATGTTTGTTTTAAACTTAAGCTTTTTTTTTTTAAAAAAAAAAAATCTAATTTCTTCAAAAGTTATTAAAAATTTTAGGGCTTCTTGTAATTTATTTTCCTTTATTTTGCTATGTATTACATTTTGTTTTACTGCACTTAATCTGTAAAACTGAGTTACTTGAAATTACAAAGGTGTAGAAAAATGTACTAGAAATTCAATGGGGGGGGGGGGAAANGGGGAAATTAAGATTCGATTATTTGCTTAAGAATTATCATCAGATGTTACCAGGTATAAATTATAACATTTATATTTAAATTTTTCAAAAATCTAAATATCTCAAAATAGATTAAAAATCTTTGTAATTCGAACTGTTACAAAATATAAAATTGTCATTACAGATTGTTAACTAGTAAAATTACTTGTCATTTATTCCTTCTTATTGTGTCACACATTCTATATTACTAAGTTTAAACATTTTTTTCAATTTCAATTGATTATTTTTCAAATCCAAGTTATCATTTATTTCGTAACAATTAACGCATCAGCAAAATCTTCTTGGGGGATGAAACTATTTTTTTCCAAGGCTTCACTAAAAAAAGTGAATTTAAGACCATGACCTACAAAAAAAACTGCCTACGAAACATCTTTACCTATTAAAAACCTCTTTATTTAAAGAATTCACTTGGTGGGGAAAAACATTTATAGTTACATCTGATGCAAAAATATTTTTTAAACAATTTCTGTCAGAATTTCAAATACAATATATTTAATTCACGATTCGTATATTATTCTGATTTTTCTTTTTTTCCAAAAATATTTTGTCCGTATTTATCCTATTTTTAGCTTTTTGTCCTGATAATGCTGTTTGCGTTCAGAATACCCCACTTACTAAGAATACAAATTTAGATTTTTAAAAAAGTAGTTTTCTGGAATCAAAAGATTAGATTTTTGATCGAAAATGCTAGTAGGAATTGCAAAAGTCTTGTAGTTCTAATTTAGGAACCATCTACTGATTATATGCAAGGTTCAGGCATTATGGCCTTACCCACAGGATTCATTGCTTCAAACGTTTTAGGAATTCAGTTATTATGTTAAAAAGAAACTTGATTAATAATTTTATCAAATTTTCATCATCATATTCTTATTTATTAATTTCGGCAAATGAAGTCAAATATCTTGTCCGATGAAGTTTTGTTGCTTCAAAATTGTTAAACCTTCTCTTATATGTGATTTTAAAAAAAAGTGAATTCCAATCAACAAGACAGTAATCATATAGAATTTTTAAATGATGAATTAAAGGATTGTCCACTGAAATTACTTTGTTTTCATTTTAAGATAGAACCCTCAGATAGAAGATCAGAAACCCTACTTTAAAATTAGTTGGCAAAGGAAATCTTGAATTTGATTACAAATTTTAATTAAAACTGGGTTGTTTTTTTTCAATGCAACAGAAATATAAAATATTTCCATATATCGATTTGAGACTATTATAAAATGTGCAGTATTGATAAAATTGTACTGAATACTTTTGAAACTTTCTGTATTAAACAAAGTAATTCTAAAATTTAAAATAGTATGTTGCTGTATTATTCTTTTGCGATCAAATTTGCTTTCACTACGGTTAAAAGGAGCAAATTATAGTTCTTATTGTGCTGTTTATTTTTTTTAAAAGTAGGGTGTTATATGTACACTGCTCTAAAAAATGTTCTGATATCCTAATTTTTTAAAAAATGCCCTGATTTTTTTCTTTGGGCTACTACAAAACCTGTATAATTGTTGTTGATACATACCTTTGATTATACATCAATGTGTATTACTTCGCATCAGTTTGTTTTTTAACTAATCACAGCACTAACCTGCCCGAGTAGAAAACGAGATATTAAAGTTGAGTAACAAATCATGCATTTTCTTTTGCAAATGAAATTGAGATATTTTTTATCAATAGTATGTTGTAAAATGATATCAATATGTGTTTAATATAATTTGTCACATTATTGTAGAAATGTGCACATTTTTAAATTCAGGGTGAGCTGGATGAATGGATAGCACTGAATTAATATAGCAGCCATTGTACAAAAATAAAAATATTTGTGGAAAATTAAGTCAGGATAGAAAAAAATTTAAGTTTAAAAGTTTCTTTTGATTCTATTTTAGAAATTATGTTTAGCTAATTGTTTAAGTGTTTTCAAAACATTTTACCACTAAGCTTTTTTAATAATGAATTTCACATTGTGTTGTGTGTTTTCAATTTTACATATTATTTAAAATAAGATTTATTATTATTGTTATAGAAAATTTTGTGATCCTCATATGACTGCCTTTGAACCAGAATCCTTAGGTAATTTGGTAGAAGGAATGGATTTTCACAAATTTTACTTTGACAATGGTAAAAATTTAAAACATTAATTTCCTATACATAGCTGCCAACCCTACTGGATTTTCCAGTTAATTACTAGATTTCACTAATTTCTCTTGGTCTACTGGTTTAGTAAAAAAATTCTCATGGTTTTTGTACATTTACAAAATTCCCTAAAAATGAATAAGTTTCCTAAAAAAATCCCTATTTAAATAGAATTTTTGCACAAATTATTGCTTGATTGAATATATAAATAAGTATTACTAATACAGTACAGAACCCGTTATCCGGAAATCGGAAAAACCAAAAAACCGGAACGAAATTCAATACATTTTCCTGCCATTTTCAAAAAAAAATAAATTTTTTTTCCTCATAAGATTTTAGGATTTTCCTTTCTTTTTTGAAAGATGTTTACCTTACCATCATTTTGGAAATAATCATTAGTGTATTACTTCATCGTTTTTTCTTATTTTTAAGATTATTTCCAATTTTTTTTTTTTTAGTTGAGTTTAACAATAAAAAAAACTGCTTTTTGTAGCGATTCAGAAAACCAGAAAAATCAGTTATCCGGAATAGCGATGATCCCGATCGTTCCGGATAATCGATTCCCTACTGCAGGGATGGCGAACCAATGGCACGCGTGCCATTGATGGCACGCAACACAATATTTTGGGCACGCCACCAATCGCAAAGTTCACCATGAGGGATATTAACAATTGAACTAGCATTCACAAAGAACAAAAAAAAATTAACAATTGTTTATAAAAAAATTAACAATTAATGCAAAAGAAAACAATTAATAATCATAAAAAGCAAGCTTACAATAAATAACTAGCAAAAAAATTTAGCATATAATAACTAATAGAAAACAAAACAAAAGAACAATTAAGCTATGCGAATGAAAGCGAAACAAAAATTGCACAGGAGATAATATGACGCCTAAGGCCTTTCCTGAGAAGGTATTTATAAATTAAGTATATTTAAGCATGATAAAACTTGTAATACATGTTCAAAGATAAACTTTTCAACTTTTCTTTTTATACAACATTTATTTGTATTTATAGGAACTTATAAACTGTAATTAATTCCGAAATAGCGAAGATCTACTTTTCAAAAGCGTAGTATTATAATTCCTTACTTTCCCTGTAGTGAAAGCTTGAGGTGAAACGTAGTATAGTGACGTATTATTTGTTTACGCAAAGCATAATAGTCAGTTTCGTTGACACAACTGTATTTTAAAGTTTATTTGTGTTATATTTGTGATTTTTAAGTGTTATTTAACATGGCTAGTTCAGCAAGAAAAACAAAAGTGCAAAATAGTAAACATATCAGAGAATTTCAAACTTGGTGGACAGAGAAATATGGCATGATTAGTAAAGGCGATAAAGCAGTGTGTGTTTTATGTTCTGGAACAGTGGTATGTAGAGTATCGTCTGTAAAATGGCATTTTGAAACAAATCACAAATTCGTTAGTCAAAAAAGCGAACCAGAGCAAAAGGAATTAATTGCAAGTGCAATGAAGGGCAGAAATAAACAGTCCACTTCTATGATTAAATATGTTGGCAAAAATTGTCATGCGAGTGCGGCTAGTTACTTGGCTGCAAATATCATTGCTCGGCATAGTAAGCCTTTTCAAGAGGAAGAGTTTTTGAAGGAAGCCTGGTTAGCATGCGTGCCCTCACTTTTTGATGATTTCGATAACAAAGATAAGATAATTCAGCGCATCAAAGATACCCCTCTATCTAGAGATGTAATATATAATAAAAGAAAGAATATTAAAATTGGCCGGAAATGTAACAGATCAACAACAAATTGACATTAACTCCGCTCTTTTTATATCGCTATGTCTTGTTGAAAGCACTGACATTACTAAATCTGCACGCTTAGCTGTTTTTGCTCGATATTGTGTCGGAAACGTCATAAAGGAAGAATTAATTGCGATAACCTTGTTGCTAACAACTACAAAGGGCACAGATATTTGTACGGCTGTTACAAATTCGCTTATTGAAAAAAAGATTGATTTGAAAAAAATTGTTTCGGTAACAACTGATGGTGCTCCAAGTATGCTAGGCAACAAAAAAAAATGGTTTCATAAGTTTATTTCAAGCGTACGTAGGGCACTCGATTCTTGAATTTCATTGCCTCATTCACCAACAAGCCTTATGTGCTAAGAGTGGTTTAACGTCTCTTGATGATGCAATGGCGATAGTCACAAAAATAGTCAACCTAATTTCCTCGCAAGCTTTAAATAAGCGAAAGTTTGATGCTCTGTTGGATGAAGTCAGCTCGGTGTATAATGGCTTACTGATGTATAATAATGTTAGCTGGTTGAGCCGCGGGAACGTACTTCAAAGGCATTCTGAACGTAATTCTGTTGATTGCTTGGAAGAAATCAGACTGTTCCTACAAAATGAGGGGAAAATTGAACAATACCCACAGTTGTTGCATGTCATGTGGCTTTCAAAATTGATGTTTTTTACAGACATATGCCAACGTTTCAATGAATTGAATGTGAAGCTTCAAGGCACGAATAAAACGATTATCGTCATGATAGATCTCATTCTCGCTTTTGATGCTAAACTGCATGTTTTCAGGAACGGTGTTATTACAAGAAACTACAAGTATTTTCCAAACTTGAGAAAAAGTATCAACGATTTAGATATACATGAGAAACCAGGCGAAGAAATAGTCACTGAGGAATTTATTTCTGTTATTGATTCTTCAATCAAAGAATTTTCAGCGAGATTTTTCCAGTTCAAGGAATTATCAGAAACACTCAAGTTTATTATGTACCCTGATGTGACTTCATTTGATAAATTGAACTTGTCTCAATTCGATTGGTTGGAAATTGAAGAATTTGAAATGCAGTTGATTGATTTCCAGTCCAGTTCAATATGGGTTCAAAAATTTATTGAAACAAGAAAAGAGTTGGAATTAATCGAAACAGAAAGATTGACAAGCAATATGAGTAAAAATGCCAATATCAAAATTTTGGTAGAATGGAATTCGTTACCAGACACATTGAACTGTTTGAAGAAGCTGGCTCGTGCTATTTTAGTTATATTTTCGTCTACCTATGCCTGCGAGTCATTATTTTCAGAGATGAATAACATTAAACACTCGCTTAGAAACCGTTTGACAGACGACTCCACTTCATCATGCATTCTGCTTAAACTAACATCTTACATCCCTAATATAAGTTATTTGTCATCTAATCTGCAACAACAGAAGTCTCACTGATGTTACTTTAAAGTTTAATTATGCATAAAACTGAGACATTGCAAAAAAAAAATTTCTTAATAAATAATAAGTTTTTAATTAATAAATAATAGGAATATAGTAATAAATAATAAGTTTCTAATTAATAAATAATAGGAATATCGTAATAAATAATAAGTTTTGAATTAATAAATAATAGGAATAAATAATAAGTAAATTCGTAATAAATAATAAGTAAATAAAGAGTTTTGATTTAATAGTATTTAGTATTATTATTTTCCCAATAATCACGTGAGTCAAAATTGTTTGATGGCATGTCTATGACCTCATTAAAATTTTTCTAGAAAAAATGGCACGTTGATACATAAAGGTTCGCCACCCCTGCCCTACTGTATATAATGAAGCGAGCCTCATTTATAGAAATCAATTTGAAACTTTTTTTTTTTGTTCTAAAATGTTCATGTGAATGTTTTTTTTGTTCTAAATGTTCAGTTTATTGTTATTCAGNATTAAGGTCCTTGAAAATTTTGTTGAGGTCCTTGAAAAGTCCTGGAAAGTCCTTGAATTTCAATCTCATCATAGAGTGGGAACCCTGTAAAAACATTTTAGTTATTTTTTATGAATTAAATGCCTATTACTATTCAAAATTATGAATAAACATAATACACAACATTTCAAACATATTTAATGCCAATCATGACTAGAAAATATTGCATTTTTTCTTTTTTGATGACTATAAAAATCCCTATAATTCCTTATGTGTGAAATATTTGGTACATTTTGCAACAATTATCATGAAATTTATATTTCATGAAATCTACTGGATTTTTTCCTATCCATGTTGGCAGCTATGCCTATATTATATTAACTGAATTTTATTGATTGTAATTTTATCATTTTCAACTTAATTATTGACTCTCTGGTAACATAATATTTGTAGAATCATTAACATTATTTTGAAATTTGAATGTGAATAATCCTCCAAATTATTCATCTATTTGATTAAGTATTCTTATTTTTTTACTTTAGTTTTAGGAAAAAATAGCAAAACTGTTCATAGTACGATATTGAATCCTTCAGTACATCTACTTGGTGATGATGCTGCTTGCATAGCATACATAAGACTTACACAGTACATGGACAAGTATGTTGATTTTTTTTATTCTGTTTGTTGCCACATATTACTAGTATTCACTAAGTATTTTTGTTTTATAAATAGAGTCAAAAAATTAACATTCTTCAATAAATGACCCTGAAAATTATAAACTTTTAATAACTTTGAGTATAAAAAGTATGCATTAAATGATTTTTTATTTCTCCTCTAAATCTCTGGATATAAGTTTTATCAATTTTTTTACAGTGATCGTACTTTCAATCCCTCTCCAGTCTTCCCTTTTTAGTAAAATATTTGTCTCTCTGTATCCTAGAGACATCTTAGTTTATCATTCTTAGCTCTTTTGTTTCTGTGTCTAGCTCTGTTTACTTTTGTTTCATTCACCCTAAGTTGGTTTTACTTTGAGATTTTCTAGGTGTAACCACATCTTTTGTGTCCTTAAACTGTATAGGTTGGTACGGAAAAGTCAGATATTGTACGGAAAAAGTGCTAATTTCCGCGATTTATAAGTATTCAAAATCTTATAACTCTTAATCAGTATCTTTCGACCCTTTAATAAGCTAAAAGATATGAAAATTTGACTAAAAATGCTTAAAATTCAAACAAAATATTTAAAAAGTCTTATTGTTGATCAGCTTGTGGGAGTGCTTAAAGGCTACCATTTCTTACCAAAAACATCTGTACTAAATCTTAGCATTATAACTTCATACCTTTTCCTGTCTTTTCGGTGCCAAAGTTTGGTTTGGCTCATTGAGGGATAGAAGATTCAATTCTGATCTTTCACGGTCCCAATGAGGCTACAGAAGATATTAAGTTAGTTAAAATTCTAAATTTTTATATTAATGTCAGGGAAAGATTTGGGAAAAAAAAGTAGAAGAATTTCCAGTGAAAAACGTTATTTACTGCAAAACCAGGATTTTCTGGAACTTTGACCCTCTGTTGAATTGAGGGATTTCACTCTTCCGTTTTCAATACTTTAATTTGCGAAATAAAGTATTTTAAAAAATTAAGTCTTTTGCTAGGCCGATTCTCATTAGGTCCATCCTTTAAATTCTTTTATTATTCTCAAGTGTTTCTGAAGATAAGTGTTGGCATTTAGATGTCCGATTTAAAGAAATTAAGAAAAAGAAGCCTTGAAATTAGATATGTTAGGGTCTTTTTTTTTCTCAATTTTCGTTATCATGTTCGTTCGTTATTATTAAACAATGATATCATTTATTGATATCATTGTTTAATAATTTCAAATAAATACAATAATTATTGCATACAAAATGTTTATTTATTTAAAATCTAATTTTAACAATATTTCTTAATGAACAAGTTTTGCCTAAAGTGGAATCATATCTGCTTTTTTTTTAAAAAAATAAGCTCCTTAAAAAAAAAAAAAAAAAAAAAAAAAAAACTGAAGACTGCTTATTAATATAAGCATATGATTATTTTATGAAGCAGATTGCAGTTTTCTCTAATTTTTATCATATTTCTGTTCTTTCACAATAAATTATTTTCATTTATAATTTTTAGGATAAAGATTTTTTTTAAAATTCAGTTGATCTTATTATATCCTGGCTTGTCCCAGATTTTAATATTTTTGTTTGTTAGCTCTTTTAACTCGTTTCTGCTTGGTAGCTTTTAAGTGTTTTTCTTTAATTTAATTAATAAGTTCTCCTTGTATTTAATCCTTTTCTTTTTATTTCTGATAATTAAGGATTTAAATAGATTGCTTTTTTTATTAATTTATTTTATATTAGGTTAGCAATTTTTAGTTTATTGTGGTATAGTAATATTTTTTTTGTTTCAATTTGACTTAACTTCAATTAAATCGGAATTGCTTATGTATTCATTCTCTTTTTTGTTGATTTGGTAGTTAAATTAAAAATAGTTTATTTTTAAATATTTTTTTTATTAATCTAGTGCTTTTAATCATAATTTATATTTTTCTATCTCTATATCCATCTTATTTATGATTCATTGTTTTTAACTTAAAATCTTAATTCAATTCAATTTTTTTTCTTCTGTTCCTAAAGACATTTGTCAATTCCTTAAGTGGGATTTAATTTCAATTAGATACAGATAATTATTTTTTGTTATAACTGGCTTTAAGAAACCTTTATTTTTTTACAGTAAGGTGCTGTAAAACAGCTGTTCCCAATTTTTTTCTATTACAGGACTATATATTTTTTTTTAAATTTCCACTTCTCTTTAAATGGCATTTTATTTTGAATAATTTTGTAAAGGTGATAGAAATAATTAGCAAATAATAAATTATTGATTGTATATAATTATAATTACAGATAGCAAAAAAAACTGTTTAAAATTGTCTCAGGTTAAAATTTCCTCTCACTTTTCCTTAGCGACCTTAAGATTCCTCAGAACCATTTGGGAACAGCTCTATACTATGTTTCTCTTAAATAATTATCTTTCGATTACATTATTTAATTTGAAAAACTGTTTGAAAAAAATATTTTAAATTGCTACAAAATTATTTTTAAATAATTTTTTATTACAATTTATAAGAATTTACTTCCTTCTGATGGTGATTGAGACTTTTTCTGCACAATCTCTGAAAAATTTAAGGCATTCGACTTTTCAACCCACTTCTGTGTGCATTGATCCAATTGTCATAAACTTTACATTTTTATTTAGAAAGTAAGCAAGAGGCTTAATTAAAAAAAATTTTTTTAGTTATGTTTTATGAAATAAAACCAAACTCTTTATTTCAAACAAGGAGAAAGTTATGAACAATAAACAAAAATATGTATTACTTGTAATCTTTGTTTGAAGTATGGTTATCAATATCTTTTTCATTGTGCCCATTATACTTGTTGTACCCATAATTGTTTACTAAATCTTGTGTGAAATGGGAAACTTTTTTCCTTCAACAATTTTTTATAGCTTATTTAAGTATGGTTGGGTTTTAAAAAGACTTTTTTTTTCTCGTAGCGACTTCTTTCTTAAAAATCTGAAAACATAAATAATGGTGGCGCTATCTATACTATCCTGTGAAATAGAAGCTTCTTAATATTTAAAAGTTAATTGACGTGTTTTGAATGTTTGTATGCAGACTTATTTTTCAAACATTGCATACCATTCCAGGGGTCTGTCCAGACATTTTGTGAAGGGTCCGTTTTTGTAAAATTGTGAAAAAATTACTCGTAATGTGTGAATATAAAATAAACGTTAAGTCACATTCTTTCAACCAGGGTCCGCTTTTGTGAATTTATGCAAATAGGGTCCGTTATTGCGAAAAATCTTTTTCAAAGAGTTTTTAAATTGTAAAGACTTACAAGATTATGCCTAACACTGTAAAATTATAATTAAATTTTAAAAAATAAACAGCAATTGCAGCTACTTAGCGATGCAACATATAAATATTTGGTATTTAGCATATACTGAAAGCAGAATGTTCATTTCGGACGAATAAAGGAAGAAGCGTCTGTCGAAGACAAAATTTAGTTTGTTTACTTCTGTCTCTCTTGCCCCCCCCTTTCTGGGACAAAACAATAAGGAAGATAAACAAATTTGTGAAGGGTCCAATTAAAAGATAAATTATTTTGTGAAGTGTCCGTTTTTAAGTTAAAATATTTTGTGAAGGGTCCGTTTTTATGAAAAGATATTTTGTGAAGGGTCTGTTAACGGACCCAAATTTCTTCTAAACAGACCTCTGCATTCTTTATTAGAAAATTATTTCATTTTGTTGCTAGAAAATTTAGTTAAGTTTTTTTTTCTTCCTAAATCTTCTGTTTTAATTGGGAGTCAGAAATATTTAAGTTTCAGGTGCTGTCTCCAATTTCATTAAAATATACTACACCATTTTACCCATCAAATGTTCTTTTCAAATAAATAACAGATATCTTTCCATTTTTTCTCAAAATTAATATTTAAATTATATTGGAGTATCTCATTTTATTTGTTTGGCAATAACTAGAAGTAAATTATTTATATTGTTTTGAATTAATAATTGTTTTTCTGCTGTCTCACAGAAGTGGCATGGCCCACACATTGCAGTCAGAAGAAACACGTGTCTGGTCAAAGAAAGATGGGAAGTGGCAAAACGTGCATTTTCACATGTCTGGATCTGCATCATCCCCATTTACAGCAGTTCACAAATAGAGTTTCTAATCAAAAGACACTGGATTGCAGTCAATGAGTGACTTGCACTAGCTGTCTGAATCAGTGAAATCACCCCACCTTGGCATCAACAGATTTTACTGTAAAACCTTTTACAGGAATGTCCTCTTTCAAATCTTTCTGCTAAGTTACTATTGAGCTGGAGGGGAGCTGTATGTTGGATGAAGGTGTGTGATCATTTTTAGAATTCTGATTGTTTTTGTGTCCTGGACTTTTTTTTTTTTTTTAAGTAAACCTTTTTTTTACCTATAATGTGTGCATGAGATGCTATGAAGTGATTGACGAATTCATTTTGTTTATTTCTATTGTGAGGTATTTAAAAGAGATACATTTTTACAGGATTTACTATGTTTTGATTTATAAAAATTATATATATTTTTAATTTTAAATATTGGAATGTTTTTAATGCTTTAAAAAATCATTTTATTTAAAGCTACATCAAGTTTTTTTCTTACGCAGACAAATGCTAAGATAACTATTGAAAGCTTTGATGTTTAAATATTTGTTTTTACTCAACATTCTTTCATATTTTGCCCAAATGTATTTTATTTAAGAAAAACTAGTCTTGTCAGTACCAAAGATTATATTTATTGAAAAATTATTAGATTTTTTTTTATTTATTAAACAATAATTGAATTATGTGGATAATTTATTTTTAAAACTGTTATATTGTGTTATAGTTTTTATGAAATCTTGTATAAGATGTGTGTGTATGAGAGTGAAATATGCCTGGTGGCACTGTATGTTTACTTAAATTTATCCAGCAGAACAAAATTTTGAATTAAAAAAGTGATACAATCCCAGACCTGCCTTTATAATCGAGCTCTAGTATCTAGTCATTTAAAATTTCCTAGAAAAATCTTAAATAGAAAAATTCCATTATTTCTGGTAATACCTAGTTGTTTGAAACCAGTGACTTCTTACATAATGAATTGCTTTTGTGTGTCTACACAGCATGTATAAGCGTTGTATACTCTGAAACTAAGTGTATTTGAAGTGCAAAATTGAGGCTCAGAGGTTTTTCCTCCTGTGATCTGAAGTAAAATTTTACAATTGAGACAAATCACTTTGCAGATGGTGCTTCTCTATGAATTGCTTCATCATCTCAGGGAAACTATTTCAGCAGGCAGGTCTGTTTGTTAGGCAAGAAAATTTAATTTACCTAGGCACCATCAGAATTCTAATTTTACAAGTGTCTTTTAAATTGATGTATTCTCTTTTATTGCTTTAGTTTTATTTTTTATATAAACCAAACTTTATTTCTTTTTATTATTATTGTNTTTTTTTTTTTTTTTTTTTTTTTTTTTTTTTTTTTTTTTTTTTTTTTTTTTTTTTTTTTTTTTTTTTTTTTTTTTTTTTTTTTGGTAGTATGATTGTGCCTTTGGCAGTTTAGCTTGTATTGTTGTACATGTGCAACCAAGTTTTAAAATTTCTAACCAACACGTTACTTTATGTTTTTATCTTTATTTTACCATAGATTGATGTTGTTAGAAAACATATGAGCCTAAGTTTAATAAGACCATTCTAGTCAAAAATATTATTTCATAGATATCTCTTTATTATTATTATTTGATTTATATATGTAGATACATACATACCTGTGAAACGTTAGTAATTTGTAGCTGTGGACTCATTTAGATTTCCTAAAAGACCTTATCTCATTGTTCAATCAAAAATTTTGGTGTTTAGTGTTTTTTTTTTTTTTTTTTTTTTTTNTTTTTTTTTACCTAAGGATATTATCAGAAACTTTTTTAATTGTAAAATAAATAAAGTTAAAAATCTTGTGATAATTTAATATTTATATCATGTTTTAAATTATTGAGTTAGACACAAAGTAAATAATGCTTATTTCATATTTAATAATCAGTTTAAAATGGCTATATTTTTTCAATTTATAACTCCTGAATTTTCTATAAAATTGATCAAAAATATTTGTCAACTCTAAAACTTGTTACACCTTTGTGAATAACATACAGGATCAAACTATTTAAAATTAATTGAATGAGTAATAAACATAAAAAAAAAACAAGAAGTCCAATTAATGTCAGGTATTTAAGTATATAATTACTTGAAAATTACTACCTAAAATCTATGGAACTTTTCTCGTTGGTAGCTATGAAATAATTCATTAAAGTCTACTTAATGATTTGAAGTCACTTGTAAAATAGTCATCTGCTGGTGCCTCTAATTTCAATTCCTTTGAAGAATTTTGGTTTGTGTGCTGTGTAGGGGTGGTGACACTGGTAATGTATAAATCTTAAGGCAGCTCTACTTCTATGACTGAATAACTTAAAAGTGTGTATAGTATTGAAATCTAAGAGCCAGTGCGAATTTTTTAATAACTGGTCAGATAATGTGGCATAGTTCCGTTTTTTGAAGAATGGTTCCTTATCTCTTCTTGATGTCTATTTTGTCAACTCTCCAAAAAAAAATCACATGTTATTACAGTCGGTCAATGTTTGACCATTATATTGTGCATCGATCGATTGATAGGTTCTTTGCTCAACAGAGAATTTTTCTTGATGGGCATTTGTATGTAGTTGCAAAGCTCTTATTCATAGACTGCTGTAACAACTTATACTTATCTAGTCATATTGTATTTGGTTTATACTTTTTAATTCCCCCCCCTTTTTTTTAAATCTGTCCCTTCTGTTCTGTATGGAGTTTTTCCCTCGTCTCTTTCATTGTATTTCTGTGAAAGTGTGTTTGTAAGGATTAATTGTTTTACAAGGGATTACTGAAAAATTTTGCACTTACCCATGATACATTTGTCTCAAAGGCAAATTTTATTTTTACTGCTTGTAGAACACATGTTTGTCAATCCTTGTACCAACATTTGAAATTATACCTTTATATTTGTCTTTGATATTGAAAACTGAACAAAATGAAAAATTTTAAATCATAACCTTAAATTAATATTGTTAGAATATAACTGGAAGAAAAAATAAAATAATTCTTAAAAAGTAAGTTTAGCTTCTCTTTTTATTAATAAATAGGATGCAGTTCAAAGAATCTTTTAGCCATTTGGGACTTTGACAATAGAAAGTTTCTCCATAAATCACCATTTTCCTGTTCAGTAACATGAATATTATATGTTTTCAATTAAAATTTTTATGTGCTGAAGATTGCAGATCTACTTAGAGAAATGGCCATCAGCAGCTTAAAAATAAGGTCTATTTGTTTCCATTAAATATTGCAAAAATGCATCTACGACCAATATGAATCTTTGAAAAAAAATTAGAGCGATATTATAACAGGTTTTATAAAAAATAAAAAAAAAAGACAATTTTTAAAAATTCAGTATGATATCTTGCAATTTTACGCATTCTCAGAAGTATTTAAATAAGGCAAATGCATCATGAGCAAGCTGCAAATTTTTTAACTTCATACTTTATCAAACTTGTGCTTTTTATTATGGATAGTTAATTTTTTTATTATTACTCTAACTCATCTTTAACGTGTGAAAAAAAAAAAACTTATTGCCGTGGTGATATGTTGAGCCCTCTTTGCACACTGCCTTATCATGCTAGCAAGGATTAGAATATATTCAGCATTTCAAATGCTGTTTTATATTATACATAGGAAAATATAAAATTGTCTAATGGTATGCTTTATGAACTTATTTAGTTGTATTAGTTTTAACAACTATATCATTGCGTGAATTTTTCTGACAGTTTCACTTAAATCTACAATTTACTAAGCTTTGAAGCAAAGATTTTTCTCCTCTTCTATATGTATATGAATTTATATGACATACAATGCATGGTGATTCTATTTGTAATTGTTGTAGATAGTAATATTTAAAAAAAAATTATTTGTTAATAATCACAGCATTGTAAATTGCTTATATGGCTTAATTATTTTCGTATCATCTGGGGTTGCCAACAGTTATCAATTTTTCATGCTTTCCTCAGCATTAACTAGCATTTTAAAACTGCAAAAAAAAATTCTGTTTAAATCTTGCAACTCTTCATCCAGGTGATGAAAGTTTTTATTAATTGACCCATGCTTAGGCTTTTAATGTTTGAATTATGACTTCTCCAGCTATAAATAAAGCATTTTTATATTTGGTCTGTCATTAATAATAAAATCTATCTTACTTTTAGTTGCGTTAAAACTATGAAATTTACGATTTGTTATACATTTTATTTATTTTCTATTAGTAACTGGATTATTATATAAGAAATATTTTTTTATAAATGTTTACTTTAGTTTAATATTTTATCAATTCAAAATTCAGAGCATTTCTTAGAATAAAACATCTCATACAACTTTTTTTTTATTTATTTATTTTTTTGCTTTCTCTTACTATTGGTTTTATTATTCTCTTACTACTGGTTTTATAATTTAGTAGTTTGTTTGTAAAAAAAAACACATTTCCGAGAGTTATTAATTCTATACCATATCTAAAAAAGAAGTCTTTATCACTGTTTTAAAACATCGATGGTATAACATTCTATGCTGCTAAAAATTACCTTTTTTTAATGAATTCAATCACATTGCAATGCTCGAGGAAATAGTAGAATATTTCCCTTGTTGACTGCATAAAAATACATTTTATGGTTGGCATCCCTTTATTATATTTAATAATTTATATGTGGGTGGGTGCTTTTATTTCTCTCTTACATTGATAACTAATTCATTTTTTCCTCTCTTATTTAAAAAAAAAACTTCATTTTTCATGAAATTTATTTCATAAAGCAAATGAAAAAAATCTTAGCATACGTGGGGTTTCCCATTTGATAGAAAATGCAATGTTGTTATATATATATATATGTACATATAATATATATTTGCTAATAGGAAAGAGAGTGATTGTTATTTAAACTAATGCTAAGTCCTTGGGTATGTTCGTAATCTGCCACTCTGAGTAAAAAACACTTTGCAAGTCTATCGCATGCTGATTAAGAATGAGAATGGATTGTAATATGAAGGACGATAAGCTTATTTCGGACATACCCTATCTTTTCAAATAATATGCAATTTTATTCCACACTTGATCCCTTTCTGTGTAAAGCTGTCTTCTCATTTTGTATGAAATGAGACTATTTTATCTGATTACCTCTTTGAGCATAAAAATGTCATTTTTACCTCTCAAAATTAGAACACTTTTTTCAGGGGTGGCGACATAGATCCACCTGTTGGAGATATCCATCAGTTGAAGTATTAACATGAAAATTTCCCCACTCTGGCTTTGAAATGTGCAATTCCACCATTTGCGAATATCATTTATAACAACTTAAAATGCTAATATTTCAGTTTTCGAAAAAAAATCGAGGCCTTCTAATAATTTGTTAAAGTAACTCTTGAGGTCATCCTCCAGTTTTCTTTAACAGGGTGCATAGCGTTTTTAAAAAGTGCTTAAAGGTGCTTATTTTCGTTTTTTAAAAGCCCTTAAAGATGCTTTTTTCAGTGGGTGTTTTCAAAAAGTGCTTAATTTTT